TGCACGCGTGTATCCTCACACGTAGAATTGCCGTGTGCACACGTGTGTATAATGCACACACGTGCACGCGTGTATCCTCACACACGTGTGTAGAACGGACATGTGTAGAAGTGTATATGTGACTGAGCCGTGTGTGCACACGGATGCGTGCGTGCTGACTTCTGTATGTCCGTATGCAGGGATGATGCACGTGTGTATGTGTCTAGGGCGTGCGTGTGTGTGTGTGTGACTGTGGCAGGTGCAGCTGCAGCCCCCGCAGTCCTGCCTCCGCTAGTGGCCTGCGTCACATGTCTGTGCTGGCATCTGGCTGCCAGCCAGCAGTCTCCTCCTGGTCACTAGCCTGTCCCTGATCTGCGACGGGGCGATAATCCTGCCGGCCTCGTGGGGCTCTGAGGGCTTCAGGCAAACAGAATCAGCCGTATCTCCATTTCCCAGAGTCTCACAGAAGGCGAGTGACAGAGCCACGGGTCGAACCCAAGGATCTTTCCCAACACGGGGCTGCGTTTGAAGGCGCAGGGAGTTCCCAGAGCGTCTCCCTGGGGAACATGTCTACCCCGCCCCCCCGACCCGGCCCCACCTTGTCGATGTCTTCATGCCTCACGGGGAAGGAGAAGGTGAAGCCCAAGGGCAGTTTCTTGTGCTTCATCTGATGCTTGTCCAGGAAGTCGGAGATGCACTCGGAGATGTAGTCGAAGAGCTGGAAGACACACGGCAAGCTGGCCGTCGGCCGCAGCGCCCCGCCACAGGCCGCAGGAGAGCACGGCCTCCAAACCTTCCCTTGGCTCCCCTGTGTCCCCTGTCCCAAATGCTGCTGCCGCGGGGACAGCGCAACACCAGGACGGGCCTGGTCCCCAGCCCAGCTGGGTGCTGTCAGCCCGTGCCTCCCACTGGACCCCATGGCGTCCAGCCGCACGCTTCGGACAGAGGCACAGCCGTGGCCAGCACTCGGATTTCTGCCTCTGCCACCCAGAGTGTCCTTCGCTGCCTCCAGGTGTCCTGGCCGCCGATCGCCCGGCCCTGCCGGGGACCAGCCCCTACCCTACTTGTGTGGTTCTGGCCACAGAACTGGCTGTTGCTGAGTGCCCCGCTCGTCGGCTGAGCTCCCTGCTGGGTGTGGGGGCCCCGTGAGGCATTCACACCATCCCTGCTGCCTTGATTCATGGCCAGTCCAGCAGCATGCAGGGGGTGGCGTGGACCAGGCTGCCACGGGACTCCTGCCTTGAAACCCTGGCCCCCAGGGATGGGCTCCGCCTCCACCCGCCTCCTCTGAGGGCTCCTTGTACTTCTGTACCCTCTCCTGAGCCCTCCCCATGGGCAGGGTAGCATTCCCGCCTGGGCAGACATTATGACTACAGTCATCCCACTCGGTGTCTCTGCTGGTGGCAGGTGACGGAGGGACACACAGGGAGAAGGCAGAATGCATGGGCTGTGTGCCGCTTGGACCCGTGTGTGCTCTCAGCTGCCCTGTCACACCTGTGATCCTTCTGGGAAACTGGGCAGGAGGTGACCTGCTGGGGCCATGCCTGGTGGCCATCCAGGTAGGCCTCTCACTGGCCTCCCTGGGCCCTCTGAGGCTGGCTGGCTCTCCTGCCCACAGGTGCCCCAGCCCTGGCAGACAGGTGGGCCCTCCCGCCAGGACGAGCGAGCCCGGAGATCCTGGGCAGACTTGATCCGGCCCCAAGGCTCCCGGCCCCGCGGCCCCCGGCCCTCGGCCCCCGGCGCAGCGGCTCACCATCTCAGCAGTGCCGGTCATGGCGTCCTCGGGGATGGAGTACATCTGGTGTTTGGTCGTCACACTCCACTGCCCCTCCTCGCCCTCCCCCACCTTCACCAACATCACCCTGAAGTTCGTACCGCCCAGGTCCAGGGAGAGGAAGTCCCCGACTTCTGCAGGCACAGGGAGAAGTGCATCAGCCTTGGGGCCCTGCCCGGCAGGACCCCAAGACCGGGGAGAGAAGGAGAGGAGGGAGTGGGGGAGATGAGGAGCTGGACAAGGCTGCTGATGCTGGCATCTGGGGAGCCCCAGGTCCACTGGGGAAACGGTCAGAGGTGAACTGGGGAACTCCATGGGAATTCCCTGCCTTGGACCAAAGCCATCCCAAGCCCAGGTCCCAAGTGAAGACCTAGTGAAATGGCCCAGACTCAGGATTGGGCTGGGGGGGTCCCCCCACCACCCTGAAGAACGAGTTTCTTATTGTGAGATGCAAACGGCCCATTTTCTTGAGGCCGGGGTAAAGACCCCAGGGCTGGGCTGGCGGAGCTCGGGGTGAGAACCAGCCTGTGTTGGGGCTGACGTGGGGAGGGCCTGTCTGGGGTCTCTGGGGATATTCCGAACCATAAGCAAGGACCTGGGGGGGCCTCCCCCTGCTGGGGCCTGGGGCTGGCTGTCCCCAGCTGAGCAGCTTCTGGCTGCCGTGTGGGGCCCCTCCCTGCCCGCCCGGGACAGCATACCTGAGCCCTCTGGGGTGGAGCGCACGTAGGTGGGCAGCATCTTCACGCTGGCCTCCTCGTGGGTCTCCAGCCGCAGGCCCCGCGCCATCTCCTTCTGCATCCGCCGCATCACCTTCTTCAAGTCAGCCTCCTGCAGCTGGAAGTCGGCCAGGATCTGCTCTGCCTGTGCAGGAGTCGAGGGGGAGCAGCTGCGTGGGGTGGGGGCCTGGATGGCCCAACTCATGGGCGTCCTGCACACACCAGGGGTCTCCCTGGCCCTCTGGCCCTGGGTCCGAGATGACCCTTCAGTTCAAATTCCCTGTTAAGACCAGCTGAAAAGCTAGAACGGCAGCCCCTCCCCAGCCCAGGGTACAGCCCATGAGCGGGCCAAGCCAAGCACCACTATCCTGTGCCGTTTTGCCGGTAATCGGTTTCGTGCCGGGCATGTGGCCCAGTTCTGGCCAATGACAGGGAAAGAGAGGTCTGATGTTAGCAGGACCTTCCCTTCCTGGGAAGGTCAGTGCCCGCATAACTGTGAACACAGCGGTGTAAGAGTGTGATGGCCGGCACTGCAGCAGCTGTCCTGTGACAATGAGGAGACAAGGCTGTTGGCGGGGAGGGATGGGAAGAGAGGCGGAGCAGCCCGGTCCCGATGTGCTGGCCAGCTTTGGATCCTCCCACCTCCATGTGCTGCTTGTGGGAGCAACCACGAATCACTGGAAGCCATAATTAAGCCAGGTTTTTGGCTCCTGGCAGCCGACAGCATTCCTAAGGCATACAGGTCCTTCCTTAGGGACCACGTCCCTACACTTAAAGTTTGAACCCAGGGAAGGTCACAAAGGGACGGGGCTGACGGAGTCAGTGACAAAACACACAGAACCAAACACCAATGTTTGCCAAGCCATTCTGCAGCTCTGGGCCCAGGTGGGAGCGTAGCCCCATAGACGCCCCCCTCCTTGGCAGAGCAATCCAGGCCGTTCTCAGGGGCACACGGCCACAGGCTGGCCCCCTCGGTCTGTCTCTCACACGCTTTCGAATGTAAAATGTGCCAGCAAGGAGTAGAAACATTAACACTTGCAGAATTCTGCCAACACGCCACACCCCGGGCTGAGCGTCCCATACCGGCTGTCGCGGTTCGCCAGGAGGAGGCGCCCGCAGCGGCTTCGAGAAGAGCACGGGCTCGCAGAAGCCTCTGGTGGGGTGCGTGCGCCAGCGTGCCTCGTGGCCCGCACGCGCAAGAGCCAAAGTCCCTGAGAGGAGGCCGGGCATCTCCCCGGAGACAGGGTTGTCCAGAGGGACTGAATGTAGGACATCACAGACTCTTGCAAGAGCGATGCAGATGCTGCAAAGGTCCAGCCTCAGACCCCTCCCCGTTGCTATGCTGCCCGCTTGGTGGCCATGACCCTGGACTCATGAGGGACATTGGGCCAAAGGCTTCGCTTCGCCCTCTGTGTCCAGGCCCACCGTGGGTCTCTGCCACTGACGGTGGGTGAAACCCCGCTCTGCCTGCTTCCAGGCCACAGAGACCCTTGTGTGGAACCTCAGAAATCACAGGAAGTCAAACCACCGGGTCAACGGGCAACATTTAATTTCAACCTAGCCGTTTCTCTCCAAGAATCCGTTCTATAGAAAGGGTCCCAGAAGCACTTAAGGGCATGCGGCGCTGGGACGGCGGAGGCCCAGGAAGACCCCACGTCCGCCCCGGGACGTCCCATCCCTGCCGGGACACCACGCAGCAGGAGTAGAAGGCTGAGATGATCCCATTCTGTCAGTAAAGTTGCCTCTCGCTGTGGGTCTCACTTTGTCCTGTACAATATTCTCAAAAGCTTAAGTTTGCTGCCAACATTTAAATAGAGACACTTGTACAGACAAATCTGGATTTGGCAGCACTTCTGCAAAAGTAGGTCTGCATTCTCGCTGGGGCTGTGGGGAGGCCACCCACCTGGGCAGGGTGTGTTGGGGGGGAGCCTGTCCCTGGTGGGGCGGGTGTGCAGGAGACACCCGGTCACCTGCCCTCATGCTGGGCCCTGCCCAAGCGAGGCTCTGCAGGCGAGGACCCACGCCCCCGGGCCCCCACACTGTGTGCATTTCCTGTTCCTTGTGGGGGAGGGGTGCTGCTGGGAGGTTCCTCTAGGTGGCCACGGGCTGACACTGGCCTCCAGCACATCTTGCCTCTCAAGGTGAGGAGTGACCTCCGGGGTGGGTGCAAGCCCCCTCCTCTGCATCGGGGCCTACAGATGCCTGGTTCTCCTGGACCAGGGGATCCTTTACCCCAGGAACATGTGGGCAACTGGCCCAGGGTCACCCACTGTGTGGCACCCAGGGAGCCAAGCTGCCGCTGGACCCATGACAGGCTCACACTGGCCTCCAGAGCGCTGGGACGGGCGCTGGAACCCACAGGTCCTCCTGGCGTTTGCGCAGGGACCTCATTCGCTGGTCCTCAGAGGCCCACAGCTGCATACAGGCTGGCATCCCAGGACTGCGCTAGGGTAGAAAGCACCTTCGGGCCTTCACTCAGTGTCCTCATGTGTCAAGTTGGGGCACCCCCAGGTATCCTGCCTTCTTCTCTGAGTCCTGAGGATGAGGTCCCAGAGCATATAAAGGGGGCAGACATCCTGCCACCTGAGCCCCCCCCAGATGCAACCCCCATCCTACTCACCCAGACAGCTTGACCCCTCCCACTTTACCCCTCTGACCTCGACACCCGATGACCTTGTCCAGGCTGGGGCCTTAAGGACTGTCTACACACTGATGCCTGGGCACCCGGAGGGGCTCCCCTCACTGAGACGGGGTGGGGTGGGGGGGAACACCAGGCCCTCGGGCTCAGCACGTTGGCATGTCTGTTAGCTGAGGGGAGATGGGTACCAAGTGGCAGATGGCTGTGTGAGGCCTGAGCTCAGGTGACAGTCTGGCCTTGTTGGCCCCAGGAGTGAGTGCCCTGGAAGACGCCATCCCTACAGACCCCTCCTGGAGAGTCTGGACCGTGGGTGTCAGGAGGGGGCTGTGGGGAGGGGGTCAGTGGCAGGCACAGCTGCCCCTCAGCCTAATGCTTCCTTCCAGGGGTCCAGCACCACCCTGACGTCGACGTCGACTTTGCCAAACCAACTGCCCCGTATGCACGGTCCGGTGGGGCGAAGCACTCTCCCTCACTCTGGGATGGTCCTTACCAGATTCGAGGCTGTCTGGGCCTGGCTCCTGGTGGCATCCATCGCCGTCTCTCCAAGGGGCCAAAAGGTAGGTTTTGGGGGGAGGTGGAGACACCCCGCCTGCTGAGGTGTGGGGCTGGGCTGCAGGCTGGAGACTGAGGCCCACCTGTGTAAGTGAGGGCCACCTCACGGGAGAGGTGCCCTCGGCAGGCTGCCAGGGCTTCTGCACGGAGAGCGCAGGTGTTGAAATACTCTGCTCACTGCCACCAGGTCAGGCGGGTCCGGAGGGCAAAGGCGGCCTGCACGGGGACAAGGCTGACCAGGACCGGGGGGACAAGGCCAGGGGGTGGTGCCCATGCTCTCCACACCCCGGTGTGGGGACTAGCTGCCTGGAGGTGCTGTGGGGAGGGGACAGAACTAGTCTATCTGCCTTCCAGTCCTTGGAGGTGCCAGGGCTGGGGGTCACCACGCTGCCGGGGGCAGGAAAGTGCAGTGAAGAGCCCCGCGCAGAGGGAGGGCCCGAGAGGGCCTGGCCTCTGCAGGCCAGACTGCGGCCCCGGGAATCCCTGGTGGGTTTCCGGGGAGGCTGGAAAAGACCCTGCCCCGACCCCCCAGCGGGATGTGAAGGGAACTCCCCCTCCCCTGCTCTGCCCCGCCCCTCCTGTCTCTGGTGCATGTGTCCCTTCGGCCAGTGAGGCCGCAGGATTGATGGGGGGGGGGGGAGTTGCTCAATACCTCATTTGGGCCAATGAGAGCCGAGCCTAGGGGACTGGGTGGGGCAGGGAAGGAAAGAGGGGGGTCTTCGAGACTGGGGGGGTGGGATACCACCCCAACGGCTGCCCCCAGCCCAGGGCCATCCCCCCCCCCAAGGTGAAAAATGCTTGTTTTTGTCGGGACTTGTAAACTGTAAATTGTTAAAACCTGCCTCTAAATGTCGGAGGTCATTCTTGGGTTTGGGCAGTAGAGGTCCAGGTGGGAGCTCGCTCTGGATGCTGGACGGCATGCAGCGTCCCCCCCCCCCCGCCCAGCCCCCGAGGGGAGTGAACTTGTCGTGCCCGGGATAGGCATCTGCCAGGCCCTGCTAAAATTAGCAGGAGCTCCCGACTTGCTGGGGGGAGGGGATGGTGGACGGACAGAATGCCAGACTCTCCCGCCAATGGCCAGTGGGTCACCCCGAAGAAAGCCCTTGGCACGATCGATCCCTTTCCTAAAATAGAGCAAAAGCACCTTCACCAGACCCACTTGTAACAGGTCACTGACCCACCAGCCCCTGGCTCTGAGCCGCCGTTTTTTTCTGTGTGTGCGGTGATGGGGCTCATCCTGGGTTTGGATGGGGGTGAGGGTGGGGGTCCTTCTGGACCAGCCAGGCTAAGCAGCAGCTGCCCTTCTCCTGGAGCGAGCACACAGCCCCTGAGAAGAGGCTCAGAATCTTCCAGCCCTCTCCTCTGGGAGGCTGGGATGGACAAGGGCTGGGGCACACGGCCCCCTTTCTCGTTAGTTGGACTTCCGCTTGCAAAGCTTGCACTTTGACTAGCAAGCATCCTTCCCCAGAGCCCTTTCCCCAGCCCCCCTCCATGCATTCTGTGGAAACAGTAGCATAGGAAGGGGTCCCCACTTCCCCACGCTAGGCAGTCCTGCAGAGCCAGACTCAGTCCTCATACCAGCCCTCCCATGTGCCTATCACTTGCCCTGTCTCACTGCCTCGTCTTCAGTTGGGGAGGTGACATCAGTGAGTCTGGGCTCCAGGTGAGGCTCTGACCTGTCCAGATAAGAGGGTCCAGGAGAGGTTGGGCCTCAGAGTAAATGGCTTATGAGGGACGTACTTGGAGTCTTCGGTATCTCAAGAGCGGTCCTAAAGAGGTTGGAGGAACATAGTTTGTGCATAGGGTTTCTTAAAAACAACGACAACACAGAACTTCTTGACAATGGGCTAGGACGTTTCAGTAGATAGTGAGCTCCCCACTTAACAGGGAGAGAGAGCAGGATCCCAGGGACCTTGCTCTGTGCTCCAGCCGGTCTTCTCATCCCTTGGCTGCGCATGAAGCTAGGTCAACAGGCACGATTTCATTTTCTTCTTGATTTACCTCTAGGAAATAATCTGACAAGTTCACGTGGTAAAGATTCCAGGATGAAAGAAATGGCACATAAGCCTCATATCCAGCTACAGGGAATGGGTTTGATAAATTACGCTACATTTATGAGTCATTAAAAATAGTAAGATTGATCTGCGTCTCCTGGCATGGAAAGATGTCCCTGACATACTGTGAGAGAGAATGTGGCAGCTACCCTCCATCAGGGCCTCCACTGAGCCCACCTATGTTATTTGCCCCCCACGTGGTCCCCACCTACGCTGAGGAGGCCTAGCCTGTGTAACTAATAGGATATTGCAGAAATGACAGAGTGTGACTTTTGAGGCTAGGCCATCAAAAACATGGTGGTTTCTGCCTTGCTCTCTCTTGGATTCTTCACGCGGAGGGAAGCCAGCCTGAGGACAGTCAGGTCCTATGGGGAGGTCTACTGAGAAGAACGGAGGCCTCCTGCGAATGGTTCAGCAACCACTTGCCAGGCAGGTGAGTGAACCACCTTGGGAGCAGATCCACCTGCCCCCGTCGAGCCTTCAGATGATGGAGCCCCAGCTGGCTTCTTGGCTGCAACCTCACGAGACCCCAAGCCAGACCCCCAAGCTGAACCACTCCTGGACTCCTGACCCACAGAAACTGTGTAAGATAATAAAGGCTTGTTGTCTCAAGCCACGAAGTTCTGAGGTAATATTTGACACAGCAATAGATGACTAAGAAATAGAGCAAGGTGATCAGAGTAATTATCTTGATGGTGGAAATAGGAGTGCTTTTATTTTCCTTTTTGCTTATCTGTATTTCCTATGTTTTTCTGCAGTGAATGTGTAATAGAGAAATATATATTTTTAAAAATCGATTTAACTTGTGGTGGGGAGCACATGAGCAGGGGGAGGGGCAGAGGGAGAGGGAGAAAAAGATTCCCAAGCAGACTTCACGCTGAGCATGGACCCTGATGTGGGGCTCGATTCCACAACCCTGAGATCATGATCTGAGCCAAAACCAAGACTCGGACACTCAACCGACTGAGCCACTCAAGCTCCCCGAGAAATATTTTTAAACAAAGTTAACAAAACAGAAGTGTTATTTAGGCCTCATCTGCTATTTTTGCCCAGAAGTTCTGAGGCCCAGACTCTGAAGGATGGAGGTTCACAGTTAAATTGGCACTTTCCAGACCCCGTATTCCAGCGGGATAGAAAATGGGGCCGGGAGCCAGAGAGCCCAGCATGCCAGTCCCACCCCCGCAGGCCTGGTGGCCCTTGGCACCAGCTGGGCACCAGCTGGGCACTCCCCTATCCTGATGCAACAGGGCCTAGAGGTCAGCGCAGTGTCGCAAGTGTTTGCTTACTGCAGGGTAGACTGGCTGTGCCCTTGTGTGAGGGGGGCCAGGGGCCTGGGGGTAGGATGACGTCAGGCACCAAGGCCAGGAGGAAATGAGCCTAGAGACAGCAGAACACCCTGGGGTCACGATAACGAGCCCCCGGCGGCCTCCACACGCTGCCTGGTGTGGCCGACGCTTTATGTGGATCGCAACTGACCTGTGAGCTTAGGGCTGTCATTTTATATGGGGAAACCGAGGCCCACAGCAGCAAAGGGACTTCAGAGATCCCACAGGTGTAAGTGATGTGGCTGGGATTCATCCCCAGGCCGGCCTGACTTTAGGTATGCTGGCAGGTTAGTCTTCCTGACTAGATGGAGGGCTCCTTCAGGGCCAAGCACGCACAGGGGTCAGGAAAGAGCCTCTGGAGCTGCCTCCAGGCTAGAAATGTTCGGAGACCTCAGCTTCAGCCGGCGGGGGTGGCCACCAAGGTCTGCATTGCCCGGTGTTTGCCCCTGACAGCAGATGGCGCTGGAGGCCTGGGGCCAGGTGTCAGGGCAGAGTAAGAGCGAGGGAACAGGGAGCATCCTGCACGTTGGCTGGGGCGGGGGCGGCAGAGTGAAGGGATCACCCAGGACCAGGATATTGCTAGGGCAGGACAGGAGCATGAGGTCACCAGCCCAAAGTCTGAAGACTGACTGCCATTCACTGCCTGTATTTCTTGGGCAAGTCCCTTAACTTTCTGCACTTCAGTTTCCCTATCAGTAAAGTGCAGATAACAATGTACCTCCCTCACGGGGCTATTGAGAGGATCCAACAGGTTAATGCAGATAAGATTCTTGGCAATCCAAGTTGTTCAATAACTTGTAGCTATTTTTGCTACCAGAGGATGCTTTAGCCCCTGGGTCAGAGTTTAGAACACAGGCCGTCCAATACTCGAGATCTATGGCAGGTGTAAAGCCAAATCCCCACCCTGTGCCTGCTGATTATTTCGGAGTGTCCTAAGGACACAGGCAGGTGGCACAGTCTCTTTGATGCCAGGCTTGCCCTAAAGCAGTGTGACTTATTGTCTGAAAAGAGAATGATTTGGAGTGACATCACAGAAAACGCTGAAGGAGGATACTCCAGGGTTAGTTCCTCCAGCAAAACAGCCGTTACTTAGAAAAAAGGATCCAGATTAATTAATTTGGAACTGACAAGCCTGATCAGACAGTTACAGCAACTGGGGAGTGCTTGAGGAAAGGAGAGGTTACTGATGGCTTGTGAGTGAGCAGGATGCACAAACCAGCTCCCACACCTAATCCCTATCATGGCCATGGGGACAGCACCCGTGTCCCGAAAACACCTGGCTGGAGGGAGGGTGGGCAGCCAGGCCCTTGGGTTGTGCACTTCGGTTGTTCTGGGCTTCCTGAGGGCTCAGTGCAGAGCTTGCCTTTGTTTCAGCCTGAGGTATACAAAGCCAGTTAAATATTCCCCTTTTTTGGGGGGGGGATCTAGATATTTAAGAAAATCTCTGTCAGGTCACAGGCTGACTGCAGAAACATCAAAACAGAAACTTCTTCAGGGACCACACGTGAGAAATACACACTTTGAAAAACATTTTTAAAAATTAAAAAAAAAAAAGAAAGAAGACTTTATAGAAAATTGTTTGGAAAAGTCACTATACAAAT